TTGAGAGATAATTACAACAAAAAAAAAAATTAGGCATATAAAATATCTTTAAACGCAAAAAAAACTTAAAGCTAAATAAATTACATTTAGAACAAATATTTTCGAAACATCGCAAATATTTGTTCTAAATTGAATTACTATAGAAATTAAATTATCAAGATAGAAATCAACTAAAAAGGTTAAAAATACTTTATGACGAGGAAGCGAAACTGCTTCACAATATTGGTAATGATGTTTAGAGAGTGGGTTTTTTAATTTTAATTAGTATTTAAAGCAGAAAAAAGTATAACGAATTTTAAGAGTGGCAACTTAAGCGAAAATAATTAGAGTTAGTAAACCAACATCTAGAAACCTTTCTTTATATCTAATTATTTGCTATATATATTTGTGTTCGCAGATGAACAAGCACCTCAGGTGTGGTGCTTGTTCATCCGCGAGTTACTTTGTATGCGTTGTTTGTTTAGTAACCAGAAACTTATTATATGTTTGTTACATAATTAGTTTTATTAACTTTAACGATTATAGCTTCATTGAAAATGCCATTATTTTTGTAAGTCTTTGTTTAAATCATAAAAATTGCTTTAAAAGATACATTACGATAAAAAACAAATACACAAAATTACATTTACATAAAAAATACAATCTCTTTTAAAATAAAAAATAAGAATACACTAATAAAATCTATAATTTATAATAAACTTTTAAAATTTTAACAATTTATTTAAAGGGATACCAAACTCCCAACACATGTTGTGTTCATATTAAAGATAATGTTAAAAAAAAAGGTTTGAATCAAGTTTTTTTTGATAAAAAATGAATAATGAATGCATACCGAGAAAAACTAATGTTGTTGTTTTAGCCGAAGCTCGCCTTCTCCATTTTTTTCAATAACTCGGAGTCTTTAAATTATAGGTTGCAATCTACAGACTTTGGCGATTCCTTTGAAGCGCCTTTAATTCATAAAAGTTTTAGCATTTGACGTCACGGTAGATTTTTAACAAAAGAAAAGTGTAATTAAACAAAGCTGCGTTTTTCTATTTTAATTAAGAAAAAAAATTTATAACATACAGCAAAACAACTTTTACAACAAATTTTTGTAAAAATCAAAAATAATAAAAACTTTTTATTTCATTGGAGAAACTTTTTTTTTACCGATATCTTAATAATTTTTAGATTTATATATCTTACTTATATTTTTTTTGTTTTTAAATTAAAACAAATATTAAAGCTTTACTTACGAATCTTATGATTTTCATACGAGTGTTTTACATTATATAGAACGTTATGTATACGTTCTCTCGTTTTTGTGCACAAGAGCGCAGTATTATATATTATGAATCTTACTTATTTTTATTTAAACAATGGGAACTTTTTTCTAACTTCTTTTTCTTTGGTTATTTTTACGCTATGATATTTTTTGTTTTCCCGTCAAAAAAAAGTATTAATTAATTTCATAAACTGACGGTATTAATTAGAGATATTTGATGAATTGTTAACTTTTTTTATTATAAAATTTTTTTGATTAAGCTGATTTATTTTAAATTGCTAAATTTGATGAATTGGATACGGATAAAAGGGAAGTATTTTATTTTACATTTGATTTTTGATAATGAAACTTTTAAAATGTCGGTAACTCCATACCAATTAGAACCTGTTAAGGTTATGAAAAAAAAGTACAAGAATACACTAAACAATACAGTTGACAGTAGTATCAGATATGAAAATTCGTGAAAGGATATGTGAGATCCTGGTTTTGCATTAAAAGTACAATTAATAGCAACACAAGTCGGCGTTATAAATTTTGATTATAAGTTTACTGTTCAATATTTTATAACCATCAAATAAAAAACATGAAGTTTGTATATTTTCGCCCGTTTTATACAACTAATATTTAACAAAAAAAGGGACAAACTATTATTATATAACGCAATAATTAACACATTAATTAATGGCAATAATTCAAGATAAATGGTAATTTAAATTGTCAAAATGTCATAAAGCGCGTTAAAAAACGTATTATATTTGGTATTTCCCAATTTGTATTGTATTTGGCATTTGTCTTTTAACATGAAAAATTGAAAAAAATTTAAAACACAACAAATACAAATTTTCAAGCAATTTTCTCTTCCAATTTTCATTTATTCAAAGAAAAGTTACTATTAAACTTTTATTCCTCTCATCTAAAAAAAGAACGAGTGACACAAAAAATATATATATATATTCTATATAACTCTTATTCATTCGAAGTTTAATTACGAGAAACTTTCTTTCTCTTTTGTTCTACTCTTTTATAAAAAGAGCAAGCGATGAAATAAAAAATTTTCTTTCTTAACATAAATTTATACTTAGAGATAAAATTAAATTAGAAATAAAGCAACAATGAACAAAGCAACTAACAGATTAATCTGGGACTATTTTGATATTAATGATAATAATCAACTTAAACAACATTACCAACAGCAATTATCAAATAAACAACACAATATCACATAATTTTAGGGGCTTTTTATTTTTCTTGCTTAGTCGTTCTAAATAATAAGTAAATTTAGTTCAAGTTAATATTTCAATATTTACAGTTGCAATATAATAAAGAAATGATGTTTAATGTTGAACTTTTTATTTAATTATTTATTTTTTACCTACATTTGTTATAAATAAACTTTTAAACCCCCGTCATTAAAATAATTTGTTTTGAATATATTTCAAAGTGATTATTCAAACTAATTTTTTTCGCTTGACTTCCCGAACTTCATGCAATGCAAATTGAGAAGAAATATTATCTAACCAAATAAAAATGCTTTTACTAATTTTATAAGGGTAATTAATGTAAAACAATTTTTTATCAGAGTCTTGATTGAGATAATAAATATTCATAATTTATAAACATTAAATACATAGCGCAATAACAATTTATAGCAACAAACCAGCATAAAATGTTTGAGGTTTTTAATATCTTTTTAAATGTTAAAAATAGAAAAAAAAAACTTAACATATAATCAAAAAAAGTTCGAATAAAAATAAATAAAAATATTTCCAGAGTTTCATTTGTTAAAAGTCTACTGTGACGTCAAATACTAAAACTTTTATGAATTAAACGCGCTTCAAAGGAATCGCCAAAGTCTGTAGATTGCAACCTATAATTTAAAGACTCAGAGTAATTGAAAAAAATGGAGAATGGAAGCTTCGGCTAAAACAACAACATTAGTTTTTCTCGGTATGCATTCATTATTTATTTCTAATCAAAAAAACTTGGTTCAAACCTTTTTTTTTAACATTATCTTTAATATGAACACAACATGTGTCGGGAGTTTATGATTCCTTTAATTTATATTTGAAGCATTTATTTTCGTAAACAAATAATATATATTCTTAAAACAATGCTAGAAATCTCAAAACATAACAAATAGTGAATAATACAATTTCTAAAACATTTCAATAGAATACTCTAGAACTTTATTTCGCTTAGTCAGCATATTTTTTGAACCAATAGAATTAGTTTGTTCATTAATTTAATTTTTAGTGTTCGCAAATATTCTTTTTATTCTTTCGCACAAAGATGTTTTAAGAACATTCACATTTTTTATGTTTCCATGTATGTCCGTAAAACAAAAATTTTTTGTTTCGTACATAAACTTAAATGTTCTCAAAACGACTAAAAAACCTGGCCAGTTTTTTGCAAATATATATAATTTCCGGTGTCAGCATTCGAGAGTGATCACTCCAGCTTCCCGACCAAGCCTGAATTGAAGTATTTTACACTCAAATTATAACCATGTGTAAATTATATTATTATAATTATATTTTATGCATAAAATTAAATTAAGACAATGACAATGTTTTTTTAGGGAAAACTAATATTTTTTCAGGGAAAAATTAAAAATAAGTCATAGGGCTACAGTTATGAGTATAGGTCTTTAAATTTTTTTTTTGATGATTATCTATATATAGAACCTTGCCAGTAAAAAGTTTCATAATTTATTTTCACTGTATACGCTACTTTCTATGCCTACAAAGTGAATGTAACTTATCGTATTTTTTAAAAAAGTGATATTTTACAAGGCTGCTGCAAGTGCTAAAATAACTTTTAGCACATTTTAATTTTTTCCACAAGTGGTTTATCAAGTACACAAAAGTAACAAAAAATTGGCACAGCTTGTCTGTTGGTATTGAACTGTAGCTCGGCTCGTTTATTAAACGAGCCGAGCTTGAACATCATAGGCTCGTTCATAAAGGCTCGATTAAAGCTCGAATATATATATATATATATATATATATATATATATATATATATATATATATATATATATATATATATATATATATATATATTTATTTATATTATAATAATATATATGTAATAAATAAAATTATGATATTATATATATTAATATATAATAAAAATATAGTGTTAGCGTAACCATATGAGATATGACCCATATAACTCTTATTACACTAAATAATTGATTAATATAAACAATTTAATTATGTGAGGCTGCTATTGACTATTGTCATTTTCTAACAGGCCCAATATGTTTTAGACCATTTTTAATGGATTTAAGAGTGTATAAATTATGCAAAACAGAAAAGTAGCCTTTAATGAACAATATTTCTTTACTAAATGAGCTTTAAACTAACAGGTTACAATAATTATTTCGAGTTTTAAACCAGTTGAGCTAGAGCAACATGTAAAACGAGCCGAGCCCAAACAATACTAATCCTTAACGAGCCCAAACAATATAATCCTTAAATTTTACATGTTGCACAAGCTCAACTGGTTTAAAACTTTTGAACAGTTAGGTTAATTAAGCTAAAATTTTCCGGAAATTGTTTTTTTTTTCATAAAAACTGTGGGTGGTCAAAATTTGAACCAAATTTGAGATGGTACCCTGGGGCATTTTTTGAATATATATATATATATATATATATATATATATATATATATATATATATATATATATATATATAATTAAATTAGTTTTAAGGGATTGTTATTTTTATAGACATCTATGTCAATTTTTAAAAATAAAGAGATGTGTGTTAAACGAAGATTTAGTGATTTTCTTGGTTTACATGAACGTTTAAATGAAAAGCACCTTGTTCTTGGTCGTATTGTGCCTCCTCCACCTGACAAGTCTGTTGTTGGTATGCTCATAAAAATTTTACTTTTTTACATTTTTGTTTTTATATTTTTACTGTGTCAGTGAAGAACCCAGACTTGTTTTAGTACCGTTTTACCGGTATGGATGCCCAAATAAAAGCGCCCAAAAGTTATTTTTATTTTTAGTTTTTATTTTGATTTTTTATAAAAAATAAAAAAAAAATTTAGTTTTAAATGCAGTAATATATATAAATAATTCTCAGTTTAATTTAGTTACCTCATTTTTTCTTCAGGAAAATAAAAATAATTAAAAAGAAATTGCTTTTTTACATAACTACGTGACGTAATTTGCCTTCGGTTATTAACAAGACAAAATTAAAAAAAATGAAAGTCGTTAAGAAATTTTAAATTAATTTTAAAACCACGTTGCAAAATTTTATAACAATGGAATGCATAAAAGATTTGTTTTTTTGAGAGTTAAGCGTTTTTAAATATCCATTCAGGGTAAGGTTAATTTTTCTTTTTGGCAATTAAGAGTAAATAGCTTTTGATCATAAATGAACAATAATATCAGTCCTTGTAACTATCAATAACAGAACAAAAATATCAGTCTTTGTAACTATCGCGCAAGTTTAGTTTTTAAATGAATGAACTTTTAATCTTTAGCTTGCTATTTGGTTTTAGTGAGGAACGTAATAAAAAACGTGGATAAAAAAGTGATAAAAACGTGGATAAAAAAGATAAAAATATGTAATAAAAAAAGTGAGGAAGTAATAAAAAACGAAGTATAAACTTTTTCAGAATTTTTTTTTCCTTTCAATATTCTTTTTAAAATAATAAAAAAAAAGGTTTTAATAACTTAAAGTTTAATTTAGATCTGTATAAAATAACCCATAGCAAATGTAATTTATTTATTCAAATGTAGTTTTTTAAATTATTCTTAATAATTAAATAAGTATATTTTTTTAAATATAAATTTAAAAAAATATAATATGGTTTTTAATCTAAATGATAAAATATTTTTAAAATTATGTTTATTGTAATTATCTCTTTAATTACCTTTAATTTAAAAGGCGCCTTAAAATTACTTTAACAATTATAACCTTTAGTAAATGTTAAATGAACAGATTTACTAATATTTAAATTAAAATTTTAAATTTAAAATAATAGAAAATAAGTTTATTAAATGCTTATGTTTTTATTCGAATAGTTTATGAAATACGTTTATAAAATGCTTATCAAATTTGTTTATTAAATGCTTATGTTTTTAATTCAAATACGAGACATAAAACTATTTTGTTAATTTTACAAATATTATGCAATATTAATATATGTAAATATTATGTAATGTAAATATTGATTAAAAATTGTTTATAATATTTTTAATTATTATTTTAAATTAAGTTTACTAAAATATAGTTAATGACTATTTAAAATACTCTCCATATGTTTAAAATAATTTTCAATAATTATTTACTGATAGCAGGGTATATGCAGCAAAAGCGTTTATTAAAATCTTATGTAAAATAGTTTTCTTTTAGCTAAAGTAACATTGTCCACCAGTAAATTCATTTATTCAAAAAATGCCTTTAAATCAACACTTTATTGTAGGATAAAACTGAACAAGATAAACATAAATGATTATTAAGAAAATGGTGATTAAAAATTATTGTTGCGGCACCCGTTTAACAAGAGGTGAATGAGGGGGAAGGGGGAAAATAAAAACATAATACCCCTCTTCTCTCTCTCTCTTCCCCCCCCCCCCCCCCCCCCTCAATGTTGCTGAAAAAAAAAACGGTATCCCCAAATAAACTTTGGGTTCTTCACTGTGTGTAGACCAAATAATTAACTTGGACTTAAAAAAAAGATTGATAAATAAATAATGAATTTATCTATAGGTATGGTTATGGTAAAAAGCTCAAAAGATGACCAATCTTCAACTGATTTCGTTGAAAGAAGACAACACGAACTAGAAAAGTATTGATTCTATTATTTTACTATGTTTATGTTTTACAATAAAAATAATTTGATTTTTAAATTCAATCAAAAACATAAGAGCCTTTAATTGGTGGCTCTTTTTTTCTGCTTAAGAAGTAAAAAACTAATTATGTTTGTTATTATTTTTATTTTGTTTTACTTTGTAGTAACTATCAAGATCAGATTTTCGAATAAAAAATGAAACTTATGTTAAATTACAAAATTGATGAAAATATTTTTTGACATCATTTTAAATTGTTAAACTAGCTGTTTTTTAGGTTCTATAAAAATGTCTTTACGTTCAGCTGGTCTTAACTAACTGTAATTCATTTTAGAATTCCAAAATGGTAGCTTGGTTGATTCTGTGTATGAAATAGTTAATTTCTGTAAATGTTATATAAATATCTTATATCAAGAAAAAAATAAAAATGTTAGTTTACACATGTAATAAAGATTGTATAAAGAATTTTAATATAAAACTTCAAATTAGCATGTAGTGGAAATTCTTGTACTTAGGGCCAGATTTTTAAGAAATAGGGAAACTGATATGATCACATCTCTATACTAATAAAGTTTTATTAATATAGGTGTAGTGATTTAAATTATAAGAGTCTTTCATCAGGTACAATAAGCTTATTTTTAATTGTACCTAGGGCCACTAACTGAAAATCAAGTCCATAATAAATTGACAACAAAGGTAGACACAAAAATTTGATTAAAAATTTATTTAATCTTAGATTGTTTTCAACAAATTTACACTTAAATAATTAACAAAATTGAATAATAGTTCTTAGCAAAATTGACAATTAAGTCAACTTGTAAAATAGTAATTTCAAAACAATCGCAAGAAAAAGTCTGCACCAAGCAAAGTTCAACAATCTACCTTGTTAAGAAACAAACAATATAATATACACGAATTTATAGAAAAACATTGCCTCTAGGATTGTAAAACAGTCTAAAATACCATCTGCAAAAATTTACTTCAGACCATTAAAAAGCGTATTCCGATCATAAAGTTTTGTAGCAACGCTCTCTGAGAACCAAAACAGTGTTTAAAAATGAAAATTTGTATAACTAATCATATTACTGAGAAGCATAACTTAGAACTTTATAGCTTTCAAATAAAGTGGAGTGGTCTCAGGGTTGGAAAAAACCCAACCCAAATTGGTTTTTTTGGATTTTATGGGTTTTTTGGGTTTTTTTTTAAACTGATCAAAATACCGAATTTTTATCATTGTATGTGTAGGTTTTTTTTTTAATTTCATAAATTCACCTCCCTATTGCTCCAGTGACTTTAGTCAAGGGAACAACTCATTTTTAAAAAATGTTTTGTCTCAATCCTTAATATTACCATTTTTACTAACAAACAACATTAACAATTAATACTTTTAAACAAAGGCGCTGTGCGGAGAAATAGATTGAGCGCAGTAATTTCAGCAGAGGTAATTTGAACCCCAACCTTCTGATTGCGAGCCATATGTTTTACCACTAGTCTACTAGCACATTATATCGATAGTGCAAAAAGAGACTCCATCAACTATAAACGATGTTAATTAATTGCACTAAATTAAAAACATGTTCAGATTATTTTTTTTTTACCAAAAAAAAAAAAATCACTATAAAAATTATTATGACAAGTGAGTTATTCAAAGTTAGTAAGACAATATAAATGTTGCAAACTAGTTTTTTATACTAACATGCTCAACATATAATTTCAAAAACTAAGTTTACAACATGTAATCAACAAGTTTGCAACATGATGTTGCAACCTTGTAAATTATTGTCAATCAGGATGACTATAAACACTTTTTAAACACTTTTGCATCATAGAAGAAAGCTGTTACACTGTACATCACTACATTCTTTTTAACAGAACATTATACTGTCCAGCTTCCTGGAAAGGTTATCGGCCTGATCAACATTATGCAGTAATTATTTTAATTTTCTTATTTTATATGATCATATTAGTATTTTTAAAATAGTAAAATTAGATTCCACCGGTAAGCCAAGTTTTTGGGCTTCCATCATCAATTGACAATCTTCATAGTAATAATCAGAAACAGAAAGTTCAGCTAATCTAACATGGATATTTAGAACTTAAATAATGTAACCAATATTTAAAATGTTTCTTTTTACAAAATTACATAAAATAATTTAGCAATTATATCCAAATGTTTAAGATTAGAGAGTTATGATTAAGATTAGAGAGTTTTTTAAAAGCCAATTTGGGATATTGACACTTCATAATGTTTTTATTTTTTTAGACCATGGAAAGATTTGTTTTGCAAATAAATTTGTGCCTTAGCTTTGATTGTTTTTGAAATATCTAAAATGAATTTGTTAATAACCATTACAGTGTCTTCACCACCAGATTCTTTTTTTTATACTTGAAGATGTTTTACCAGCTTAGTTTTGCAACTGAATCAAAGTAACACAGTATATAGCTCTCTTGCGTGTGTTTCTTCACCTTTTAGCAAACTTGGTACTGATGTTTATTTTCAACCCGCTGCTCATAGTGAACCCTGTTGACGGTACATGTTGTAAACTTGTAGCTGATGCAAAATATTAAAAACCTGTAAAATAGACAGATAAGCATGAGTATCATTTTTAACAACAAATCTTGTCCTTGTGAACTGTATACAAGTTTTCAATATGTTCTCTCATTGAATGAAACTAGCTTGCACATAATTTTTTAAAACATAATTTTTTTTTTTGTTTTAAAGTTGTATGCTTTTAATAAGGACAAGTCTAGTAAACTGAAGCATTTTTTTTTTTTTTTCTTTTTTTTTCTTTTCATTTCTAGACTGTGAATAAAGTTAAACAATTTTTATATATAGTATTTTGCTTGTGGCTTTGTACTGAAATTTACAGCTTACAACATAAGCTTTAAAAAATAAAAGATCAAATACCATCGTAAAATGACATCTATAGAACGCTTGTTTGGAAATATAGACATTCAAGAGGAGAAAAAGATACTAAATAACTAGTAATATCTTGTTCTTTGAAATTTAGTTAATAGAATGATTTTTATTTCCTTTATAAGTATTTAAGTAATTTAATGTTTTAATACATATTTCAATAATATTTATAATAACTTGCTATATGTTTAAGAAAAATAATAAATAACCAACTTGCTACAAAAACAGATTGATTGGTTTTGGATATATTTTAAATACCATTTTGTATATAAATACAAAAAAAAACAGTGTTAACAAGAGTAATTACAGCATAGAAGTTGCACTTGCTGATAATAAAGCATTTATAAGTGTTAAAATCAGAGTTATCAGTTGTAAAGTAGGACATTTTAAAGAAAACCCAAATATATTTTGGGTGTTTTTTGGGTTTTATTGGGTTTTTTTAAGGTGGGTTTTTTTGAGTTTTTTTAAGTTGGGTTTTTTTTGAGTTGTTTTAAGTTGGGTTTTTTTTTTGGGTTTTGTTTTTTTGCCAACTCTGGGTGGTCCTAGATAATAGGAGGCCCTAGTTGCAAGAACTTTCCCTATTGTCAATTGAGAGTCTATGAGCTAAAAGTCCATATTACATACATATTGAACATCACTTTACTATATTTAACTAAATAATTTTATTTTAAGTTTAACAAAAACCATTTTCTTCATTTATTTATACAATTCATTTAATCTAATTATTTTAACTTAATCCATTCATCCATTTTCATACAATCTATTTATAATTCATTTATTTCAGTCATGTTATTCAAATTTTACAATAAGAGATGTTCAATTATGATATTTGTACTTATACAAATAAAATAAAAAAATTCTTTCAGGTACATGAATCGATTAGCGAGGCATTCTCAGCTTATTGAAGATCAAGATTTTAAAGAGTTTTTAGAAGCTGAAGAGGTTTTTATTGTTCTATGATGCTTCTGTGTACTTTATTTACTACAATATTTTTGTGTACTTTATTTACTACAATATTTGTGTGTACTTTATTTTCAACAATATTTGTGTGTAGGTCAATAACTTAAGTTGTTAATGCATAATTTGTGTGTAGATTTGTCTTTTCAAGAATATATTTCTAGTTATTTTTAATTCTTTCTAAGTTACCTAGAGCCAAAAATACATCAGCATTAAGTAAAGGTGGTTTGTCAAGACTTGCCAAAGGTATTGGTGATGCAGTCTCAAAAATAACCATCAAGATGGTAGAATCTGATAGTGTAAGTATAGTTATTACAGTTTATTACTACAGTATAAGTAATAAATCAGTGCATATAATGTCCTTAAGAACAATCTTGAAAGTTGGTGGTTTTTGCACTTGTAAAATATCTTTTATCTGTTGTTATTTAACTTATATAATTTGAATCTTCAAGGGGTTCTCAAAATGTTCAAATTATAAAATGTTCAAATTGAAAGATGTTCAAATTATAAAATGTTCAAATTATAAGATGTTCAAATTGAAAGATGTTCAAATTGTTTTGAATTGTTGGAGTTTAATCTTAAGTATTAAACCCTGAAGGGAACTAAGAATTTGTTAAATTTAAACGATCTTTCTAATTATAGAAGTTCGAATTACAAGAGTAACTCTTCAAGTTATTTTTTTAGCACAACTTACACATTTGTTTATGATTCAAATAGGAAACTATGGAAAAGTACTGTAAATTTGTTTAATGGGCAACCAATTAAGAAATTTTTAATAGTGAATAGTTTTCCCATATATCAAGATTATTTTTTGAAACTTTTTTCAAGATAACTCTCTTGTAGTCAGCAACATTTTAATTTTAATAAGTAGTTATGAAGTGGCGGATAAAGCTAAAACCATTACTGATAAAGTTCAACTGGAAGTTTTAGCAAAACGAATAATGGTCAGCATTGAAAAAAAAAAAATCAAAATGAATTACTCAAAAAACAGTTAAACAAGATTAATTTAAAGAGAAGACAAAGCAGACTCTGTGACTGCAGCTAATGATGTCTAAGCATTATTGCTGTTTGATCACTATTTTTTCTATTCATTAAAATCATCATCTGATGTAGATTCTAAATGAAAGACCTACTTAAGAAGCAGGTTTTCAAAATCTTTCCAGTTGTGTAAAGTTCAAGGAAGTTCTAGTTTTTTAAGTTAATTTGGTTTTTTCTGCAATTTTCTCAAAACATTTTCAATAAATCTTTGATTATAACAACAGTATATTATTTTAAAAATTAAAAACTCAGACAGCTATGTTTCTTGTGGCTATTTTGATAAAAGCAAGATTCTTATTTCTTAGAGAAAATATTTCTGTCAATAAACTAATGAATGCACTTGGAAAAAATTTCGAAAAGAAGAAGCATCAGGAAGAATTTTAAAGCATCTCAATATGCAGTTCTTCATTCGGATGGAAAGTTTCTTGCAAATACTGAAGGTCAACTGTCTGACTGACTTGCTGTTATTTTTTCAGACATGAGAGATGTGTTGTTGTTCTTTCTGACATGACAGACTTGCTATTTTTTTTCTGACATGACAGACATGCTGTTGTTTTTTCTGACATGACAGACGAGTTTTAACAACAAGCAAAAACTGTTTTTAGATTAAATTTAAGCAATTTGAACAATGTAAAATATTTTATAATAGTTAAAGTTTAATTAAAAGTAGGGTTGTATCGGATTGAATATTTTGAATTACAGCCGGAACTGGACTTGTTAAAAAAATTCCAGTCGGAACAAGATTTATATTTATATAGTTTTTCCTTCAAGATTAAAAGTGAATGCCTGGACCTCAGCATCATGGTTACATAATATATATTTATAACCTATAATTTAACAACCTATAATACTTTTTTGATGAAAAAGGAATTTGTTTGTTGTACAAAACTGGATAGCAACTCTTTTTGCACCACAATATTCCTAAACTTTTAGAAATCTTTACATAAGTAATTACTGGAAATAAAGTTAGGCAAAGCTTCAGATATGCAGTCTAAAATAATTTTATTTTATTGCTTGTTGTGGCTTTCATGTGGAGACTTGCTCTAAGTCAGGGGTGGCCAGATTTAAGATACGGGCAAAAAAAAGTTAAAAATAATTTTGCGGGCAAAAATAATTTCTACAAAAGTATAGGTGACTAATAACTATTATAATCATTTGTATCAAAGTAATATAATTATTAAGAGTGGTGAACTTGACCGTCTGAAACCTGTTTTTTGATGCCTGAATCGATTTTCGAGATAGATAGAAGTATCACATTACCAAGATGGTTGTCTCCTAAATATCCAAATTATTTAACGGGCATTTAAAAAAGTCTCTGCAGGCATTTTTTTGCTTGCAGGCAGTGGTTTGGCTACCAAGTGATGACTTTAATATAAACATAAAGAATATTTATTGGCTTTAGTACATACATAGACTATCTTATCTTATCCATTATCTTATAGCCTGCTGCTACAAGGAAGTGTTGCTACATCGACTATCTTAAAGCCTGCTTCTAGGAATTGCTGCTGCATTGACTAAGGATTTGGCATAGGGCAGCAATCTTTTTTTTTTTATTTCAGTTAAAATTTCTAATGTTTTAAAATTCTCCACTAGAGAGAGCTCAACAAGAGAAAAAAAAATTTATTTTAGAGTGCTAAAAAGCTTTACCTAAAATTACATTGTATTTGTTAAGAATTTTGTATTTATTACCTAGATTTATCTTTAGTTCTTTAATGCCCTGTAGGACAATGATTTTTTTTCCGGATATATCCGGAATTCCTGATATTTCATTTAACTTTTAGCGTTTTCGGGTATTTCAAAAGTTTTCTGTAAATACAAATTTGAAAATAAATCCTTAGTTTCTCCAGTACACTTTTCTTTTCAAGCTTCTATGAAATTGACACTATCACATGACTGTCTCAAGCATCAATTGGATTGGAAAACATTGAATGTTAGTCTCTTTATTAAAACTTTCCTTTATACAAGTGGCGCAGAAGAAAGTGTGATTGCAATGATGAAAAACCATGCAAAGAATATCACACAGTATGATAAAAAACGTCAATGGATTTTGCAACTGATGAAATTCTGGATTTATGTTTTTATTTTCAAAAAAGAAAAAAATTTTAAATAAAATTTCTTCTGAAAATATTTTTTGTAGAACTAAATATTAGATGTTGAATAGAGTTGAAGTGTGAAAATAATACAATTTCTTAAGTGTGTCAAAGCATGTTGAAAATGTACAATTGTATGTGAAAAAATAGATGTGTGAAAAAAGAGTTGTGGATAGAAAACATATTTTGTACAAATTTGTTAAATAATCAATAATAACTATTTTGCAGTGGTTTGAAGAAAAACAAAACCAAATAGATGTTTTAGACCAACAGCTTATCAAGTTGCATACTGCTGCAGAAGTACTGGTAAATCTTAGAAAAGGTGAGTAATGAAGAAATATATTTTAAACTTTGGAGTTTATAGTTTTAAATTATTATATTGTATAATAATTTAAAACTAAGAAATAAAGTTTATGTTATTTATAAATTTTATATTTATTTTGGTTTTGAAATATAACAAAATTGTTTTAAATTGTTTTTTTTTAAATTTTAAAATTGTTTTTCTCTTAGTTACTTCATAAAATTTTCTTTTTTTTTTTTGAAAATTTTTTAGAAGTATGTTTAAACACATCTGCATTTGCAAAAAGTTGTTCATTACTCAGTAAGTCCATTATTATTTTGAAATTTTCTGTGACAAGTATTGATTTGTGTAAAAAAAATAATTAATGAATCTTTGAATGTGCGTTATAAAATTTTTTTTTTCCAATATTATTTGTGAAGGTAATTGTGAAGAGCATACATCATTGTCTCGCGCATTATCTCAACTTGCTGAACTAGAAGAGAAAATAGAGCATGTTCAGCAAGAACAGGTAATTGTATATTTTTTGCTTGCATAATAGAAAAATTATCTTCATTCTTAGACTTGATTTTCATTAAAGTTGAATTTTTGAATTTAAATTTCTTGATTAGTTGTTGACTTTTTTTAATAAATTTATTTATTATACTTTTATCGTACCTTTTGTATTTAAAAGTGTTTACATTTTAGGTTCTAAAAGATTTCTACACTTTAGCAGAGACATTAAAAGAATATATATCACTGATTGGAGCTGTAAAGGTATTTTTTATTAATTTTATCAATTTTTTTAAGCTTAACCGTCCTAGTTCCATACATTAAACATTTAATGGATTTTTTCACAACTGGATACTTTTCCTGTTAACCTGTTATGCAGATCAGAACTAAATATTTTTATTGTGGTACTATCACTAGTAGGGTTATTATTCAAACTTTGCGAGTATTTTCTACCTATATCCACAATCAAGATAAGGTTTTTATACGATTTTTCTTTCTCTAAAGTTGTCTTCACTATGGCACTTCTAAGAAACTTCACCTGCCCCATTATAAGATCAGTTTGATTTCATTACCAGTTAAGACTTTATGAAAGATATAATAAAACATGTATAACAAAAACAGTGTTTATTCGTCTAATAATCAAGTTATCAATGTATAATATAAATAATCATATATTGACTGCATATATTTATAATATTATTTTTGTAAAACTTATATTGGTGCAACCAATCAAACCTAATTTTTTATTTTTCATAATTTATTTAAATCTGCATCAAGGTATCGATCAATTCTTTTGTGTGTTATTTAAGCTATCTTTTTGAAATCAAGTTTTCTGGTTGATACCAGAATAAATAGGACCACTGTATTTTGTTGTACTTGTTGAGGTATCTCTTTTTTTGGTTATAGCTTTGCCTAATGTTGATTTACTCAAACCTTTTGGTGAAATAGTATATCAAACAAAAACTCTCTGTTCGTATTTTACTTTTTTGTAATGATTGACATCATTTGGTGTCAGAGTCCTGTCATTATGTGTCAGAATTTAGTCACTTGATAAATTATAAGTTAATACAAGTTCTTTTTTTTTTTTTTTTTATTATACTTCACCTCCTCAAGGCCGAGAAGGCCACTACAGACGAGGAGGCTACTTATTTTGTGGCTATAACCCTCTCTCAACTCTATAACTCCGAAACACGAACCTTGACGAACAAGGCCGCTGCGCAGAGAAACAAGTTGAGCGCGGTACTACCAGGGACGTGGTGGGGATTGAACTCGGAACCGAAAAAATCGGAGTTCAGAACTAATGTTGAGCGATGATAGCAATCATAAAGTTATTAGTTTTAGAAAATTTTAAATTGGTTTCTCTTAATAATTAGTTAGTAATTGGAGCCCCGTCCCTAGCTAAAAATGAGACTTTTCATAAAAACTGACTCCAGCCAAGTTTTAAGATTTAGCAGGGGTTGATAGCTGAGACTAGAAAAAAATTTATAACACTTTATGTGTTATAAATTTATTAATACATTTACTATTAATTAAATGCTCGCATATATATATATATATATATATATATATATATATATATATATATATATATATATATATATATATATATATATATGTATATATATATATATATATAGAACTCTCCTTAACAATATATATATATATATATATATATATATATATATATATATATATATATATATATATATATATATATATATATATATATATATATATAGCTCTCCTAAACAAAGATGGCAAGCCATGCGTGCTGTTCCCCTAAACATCTTATTAGGAGAGCTTTTGGTTTTTGCGTGAGCTATCTGTTTATTCATCAAAAAAATTAATTATTATATACAAAATTTTGGTTTTATACTTTTTACAAGCCTAGGACGCTACAAATCGTTTTTTTAATGAATGTTGACGTTAGTATCTTTATTTCATGGCGAAGGTCAAATTTAAGAGATATATGTCATAGAAAGTTTTTATTTTCAATATTTTTTATTCTAGTTATTAGATATATCAATGATGTTTATTGAATTTAATTAATTTTTTATTTCATCAAAAAAAAATTTACGCATTTGCAAAGTGCGCAGAAATTAATGATAATCAATATGCAATTGAGCAGCTGTGGCATAGTGGTTAGAGTTCTGGCTCAGAACACAGAGGTCCTAGGTTTGATGCTGGCTCTTTTCTTTTTTAAAACTTTTAAAAATAATATAGTATTTGTTTATATATATAAGTATTCAATAACAAGTTAATAAAAATATCAAATTGGCATTGTTAAACATATAATAAAAATAGAAAATTGTAATAAACATATTTTTTCTAAACTTAAAAATTCGTTTCAAATATTTAAAAAGTGTTTTAACATGCAAATAAACATTACTTTATTTTAAGAAAAATAAGTAAATAATAAAATAAAAAAAAAGCACGCAGCAATAATGTTTAAGCATGGTTTCTTTTAAAGTAAATGCAAATTTATTCATTTTAAGTAAAATTTTGCATGCTTTTATTTACGTATGCAGAAGCTATTCTAAAACATAATTACTTTTAAAATTTTTTTTAGATAAGCGTTATTTTTACTGCTTATAAAAAAGGTTTTAATTTTTTTATTGTAATAAAATGCTGGTATTTTAAGAATTATTAAAAATAGTTATATATATAACTGTGTTTTTTGTTTTAGTTACAATAATAATTATATTTTTAAGAAAAAATTATACTTTTGTAAGAGCCATAAATTACTCCCATAAACTGTTTTAAGGGAGTGTAAATTTACCGCTGAGTCCTGTTTTTTTTTCTTTAAAAACATTCTAGTCTTTTAATTTGCGTTTTTGTGGTTTAATTATTTCCTGAAATTAAATTAATGTGTTTTGACATAATCTAACCTTAATTATGTCAGCTTTAAAACTAAAAACAACCAAATAGCCGCTTTTTTACCATAAACACATTTTCTTAGCCGTAAACTATAGGAATATATATATATATATATATATATATATATATATATATATATATATATATATATATATATATATATATATATAATTTTTATAACACAAAAGGCAGATGCAGTAATAGGATCATCCGGTGGTACAAGACAACTTGTTTTCTCCAAAGGCGACTTGAAATTTAGGAAGAGATACAACTTTACATCAATGAGAAAGAGGCTAAAGCTTAGCAGATAGACCGGATAAAAAACGTACTTTATAAAATGTTTAGCATCATGAAAAATGTTACTAATGGTCTGTTAAAACATGCGTTAATTTTAAAATCATCAAATAAAATCTTTTTATTGCTTCATTTTAAAATTAACGCACATTTTTATAGACGTAATGTTGTATCTCTTCCTCTTTTCTACAAATACTATTGTGGTTGCTGCTCAAAGAAGCTTTTATCTCTAGTTCCATCAACCAAAACTCATTCTCGCTTGACTTGTCATTCATCAAAGTCTCATTCTTTTACTGTATCTGTCTCTTCATGCTCCAAAAACTTTTATTTGTCTAGCTTATTTTCCAGCACTTCAACCCTTTGAAACTCTGTCCCATCTTCATGTTTTCCTGACTCATACAACCTTCAACTTTTTAAGTCTCCTGTCTACTCTTTTTTTTTTAGCAACTCCCAACTTGATAGTGGTTGCTTGCAGCCTTGTTGAGAGTAAAAAAGAATTTAAAAAATATAGATAACAATCCTTAAATAGGTTACTTTTAAAGCTTTTGCCTGTAAACAAAGTTAAAATTAAAATTTATCCAAAAAATTCTAAGTAATGCATAAAGTTTAATTTATTTATTTATTAATTATTATAATAATGCACTATAAAAATATTAAAATGCCATCGGTTGGAAAATTGGTAAAAACGGCTGATGCCAATACCGATTCCGATTGTACAAAAAGTGTCTGATTAAGCTGATGTCGAATTATCGGTACATCACTAATTATCGTAGCGGACAACTCAAATGAGAAAACATCTATTCAACACAGACCATTTCTGAAAACTATATCTGGTGATATATCTGAACTCCTAATAATACATTTTTTTTTTAATTTAGGCAGCATTTGCACAGCGAACAAAAGTTTGGTCAAATTGGCAAAGTGCCCAATCTACGTTAACAAAAAAACGAGAAGCTTTAGTAAAACTTGAATTAGCAGGAAAATCTGACAAGTTGGGCCCTGCTCAAGATGAAGTCAAAGAAGTAATTTATTTTTTCCCTTTTATTGTAAGAAATGTAAAATTAAAAATTTTAGTATAACTATTTCCTGAATCATTTAAGAATCGTTTATTCAAAAAAAATGAATGAAAAATATTTTTTTCATTCATTTTTTTTATAAATTCTTTTTTTTTTTTTTTTTTTTTACATTGTTATTTTGAAATCATTTTCTTAGAAATATGCAACTTTTGGTATTGTTGTTTGTCCTCTTCTGGCTAATTGCCATATAGAGGCTACTTACCAAGGCTTGCGAAGATGACTTCAGCTCAGCATCATAATGATGCATCATAATCTGCTTTGGCGGACCAAGAGTAAGTGAGTTTAGGAAGAACAAAAAATATTCGAGTGAAAGACAGAAGAAGTTGAGTTAAAAAGATAGTAAAGATAGTGTACAGATATTGCACTTATGAGAGTGTGCAAAGTTGTACTATTAATCAGTTATAACTAATTAATGTATTGCAATTGCATAAATTTCAAAGTTATTTAATTTTAAATTATAATTATGGTATATTATTGAATCCTAATTTTAGCTTTAATTTCCAGACCTGTAAATCTGCAACTTATGTACAAAATGCAATGCATAATAAAAAAGAGCACATAATTGTAAAAAAAATAGATAGTATCTGAATTTAATTAAAGTTGTGGGTGTACCATTATTTAACCTTTAAATAACTAATGAATTCATGAATTTTTATTGAACACCTGTTTAATTTTTCTGAATTATTAAACTTTCTGTTATTTAAATGATTTAAATTAATGTTTATTTTTTAGTGGGAAAAAAGAGTTGAGAAAGGAGAAGATGACTTCAACGCAATTTCAAAAACTATCAAAGTTGAAATGACTAGATTCGATGTAATTTAATTGTTTCATTTTTTGTTTTTATAAACAGATTTTTGGATTTTAAACATTTTTTAGATAGTTGGTTGTTTCATTTTTTCAACAAAAGTAATTGTGGTTTTATCGACAAAATTAATTGTGATTTTATCTACAAAATTAGTTTAGTGGATTTTATCAATTAATTTTATAAAATCAACAAATGATGATATCTTAAGTTTGATGATGTCTTAATTCCTCATTAAGAATCATTTTGAATTAAAGAATAAACATTGCTTTGTGTAAAGTGTCAAAGTGTTATTTCAAGTGTAAAGTATTTCTTGGGATTTCCCTATATTTTCTCTCTATATATTTTTTTTAAATCTACAGAATTTAGTTAAGCAGTTGATATTTGGACATGTTTTAAAATCTAGAAATTTGTTTGAAAGTTAAAATGTAAACAACGCTACTTAACTTTACACATTTAAATCATCAGTTGAATATGATTGAAGATTAATATTATTTGAACTGAAATTATGTTACAAACAATTATTTTTTTCAATCGTATTATATTTGTGACCCCTAAAATTAAATATTTTTTCTTTATTTTCAACCTAAAACAAAGAGATAATTTAAACCCCCTATGTGAAGATGGATTATATTATTAAAAATGCAGCTTTTTTACAACTTGGTCTAACAATTTAATTTAATGAGATTTATTTTATTCTGTTTTAGAATTTTATATAATAAAGAATTACCCTAAAATAAAGTTGATATTTTAAAATGTTATTTTATTATTTATTTAGTGTTACTATATATTATTTTTGGTATCTTGATTTTGTTCCGATAATTAGTGTAGGAAAATTTATTTATGTTGAAAGATTAACTTGTTTGAATAAAAGTTCACTTATTATTTAGAAAATTTACTTTTGTTGAAAGTTTTACTTGTTTGGATAAAAGTTCACTTATTATTTAGAAAATTTCTTTTTGTTGAAAGTTTTACTTGTTTGGATAAAAGCTCACTTATTATTCAGAAAATTTACTTTTGTTGAAAGTTTTACTTGTTTGAATAAAAGTTCACTTATTATTTAGAAAATGCGTGTGAAAGATTTTAAAGATTTGATTATTACATACTTGGAATCTTTACTTAATGTTCAACAACAGGTTAGTCTCTAAACATATTTATTACACCTGGATAGAGGAATTTAATTTTTTTTTTAGTATTCAATCTGAAAGGAAAGAAAAAAAGTTGTTTACTTTTTTTTTACAGTCTTTCAAATGACTTATCTTTTAAACTTTTGTTGCCATTTAATGCTATAGTTGTTTTTATTTTATTTTTTTCTCAAGTTTATACAAACAAACAGCAGTGTTGTAAGTTAAGTAAGTTGATTTACAACAGTCAGGGCGTGACAAATTGTAAAGGTGCAAACGTTTGTTTTTTTAAAAAAAAAAAAAAAAAAAAACAGAAAAAGAAATGTCACATTTCTTTACTTTTATTTACGCAAACATTGGTGTTCGCTTAAAATTTTTTTAAACAAATGTATTGCAATTTTTTCTCCAAATATTATGCAGTTAATAGTTTTTTATTTATTATAAAAAACATATTTTTATTAAAAACAATTAGTTACTAAAAATTAAAACGGTTTTAAAAGAACCAAGCTAAAACATGATTACTTTCATCAATAGCATTATTATTAAATTACTAAGTACGCTATTGAAGAAAGTAATTATGTTTTAGCATGGTTTTTACATGCATTTACAAAAGCATGCAAAATTTTACTTAATTTGAATGCATTTCCTGTTACTTTAAAAGAAACCATGCTAAAACATTGCTTTCTTTACAACATGTCTTTTTTTTTAATTATTGTTAAAGTGAAGTAATATTTGTTTGCTAAAAAATTAATTAAAAGAAACTAAAATGTTTAAGTGTTAATTTATAAAATGATCCAAATGAACTTTTAAAACACAAAAAAAACATTTACAAGAAAATAAAACCTTAAAAAAATTATCTCAGGCAAATACTATGACCAACTTATTATTTTAAAAAACAATAGACTTGAAAAATTCGTAAAAAATAAAAAAAAGCTTAAGAATAGATGGACTACAAGAAGCACCTGGAAAATGTTGAAACGGTTGCAAAAAAGTGGTAAAGAACTTTTTAAAAACGACTAAAAGTAACAAGTGAAGTGGTGATAAAACGAGCTCATTGTATCGGTCAATACAAACATAACAAACCAAGAACAATAGATAAAATCTAGATAAAAACAATACTTTCAACGCAGTATATAGAACATATCTTAGAGAAACTGGCTTTTACTTAAATTAAGACTTTGGGAAGAAGTAAAAAAACTACTTCGCAAAAGTATATACTCCATTTAAAAATACAATAAAATATTTAGTTTAGATTTTAAAAAGATTTTCTTTTTTAATGAAAAGAAGTTTTCAAAATTTTTAACTTAATGACTTAAAAAGATAAATTTTAATACAATTTTTAACTAAAACATTATTTTTAAGTAAAAATACTTGTAAAAGTTTTGAAAACAGTTTTTAAGTTCTGCTGAAATATAATCTAAGAGAATATATAGAATCATTTTATTATTAAATTTATTATTATAGTTAAATTTATTACTAATATGGTATTTTTATTATTAATTACTTAATATTATAAATATAATTATATCAAATTTGACAAACTAAATTAAGAAAAATTCACTATTTTTAGTTTATTTACTATTTTGTATTAATGAAGTTTACAATCATTAAGTTGCTTATAAGTTCATCTAATAATTTATTTAAAAATAAAACCCCCTTATAATTTAATAAAAGATTATTTAAATAAAAAAATTATTGGAAAAAAAAACTCCATTATGTAACATATACCTCTTTAATTGGATGTTTCTTAATAAATAAAGATAAGAGCGTCAGCGTTTATCCAAAAAAAAATGGTTTGTCACGCCCTGACAGTGTTGTAAGTTAATTCGTTTTCAGAAATTTTAAAAATAATTGCTTTTTGTTTAATGTTGTGTAACCCTAATAAACAGATAAGCTAGGCTGCTTTACAGAGAAACAAGTTGTTTGTGGTACTACTGCCAGCGGTACAGTTGATACAACAGCAGACAGCATTAATGTTTGATTTCCAAACCAATAGCTTAGAACATTAATTATTTAGACATGTTTGTATTTATTACATGTTCAATGTTAAATTAATCTTGAACAAAATTATAAAGGGTTTTTTGAATTTTGAAATAAAATTTTCTAACCTAAGAATCAGCTTCTTTTCAAGCTTTTAAGTTGATTTTCTGCATGCGCAGCTGTTGTGCAGTGGTTAGCGCTGTTACCTTGAACCTAGAGATCCTTGGTTCAATGCCATCTCTGAGCAAGTTTTATAACATCAGTAAGGAAGGAGGAGTGAACTTTCTTTCAAATACTCTTCCATTGTGCTCTGTGATAAGACTGTAAGAACTTCTTGGGACACCTAAAATATATTTAAAAAGAAAAGTGTTAGTTATCTGATAATATTTTAATATGTTATTATGATATATTTTTTATATTATATATTTTAATTATATCATAGTATAGTTTTTGTTATATCATAATTTAGTTTTTTAGCATTTTTTTTAAATGCTTTTTTAAATAAAAATTTTCAAGTTGAAACTTTTTATTATAGTTTGCACAACTGTGGGAAGGATTTGCTCAGGAAGCCAAAGCCATCTGTTAAAGTTTTTCAATATTCTATAAATTATAAATTATGTATTTTAAATCATGAAGATAGCTACCAGAATCTTGTTTCAGAATGTTCAAAAGCAATCTTCATTGGACGGTCTTTCAAAACTGGCTGCTGAAATAATTTTCTATGTTTCTATTTTTTATTACACTAAATTAAACTTTTTTTTTATATACATTTTTTTAATGTGACTGTTTTATAATATTGTTGTGAAAATATTTTTTTTTTGTTGTCTTAGTGATATACCATTATATTATCTTTCAAATGTTTAGAAAATATTGAGTTATTAAGAAATAAATTGTTTTGGTATATATAACAAAATAAATATAATATTAATATAAAATAATAATATGAATATAAATCTTAAGTAATAAATAAAAAGTAATAAACCTTGTAATAAATTCTAACAAGCATGAGTGTGTTTCTTCAATATTTATTAAATTATTAATTAGATAAGATATTATTAATTAAATAGATGTTTTAAAGAAAATTTAATTTCTTTCTAAACATTAAAAAAAAAAAAAAAAAAAGTTTGTTGTACTCATGAGTGCAGTTGCCCCTTAACACACAATACAAGACAATACACTTAAACTTTTCTTTGGCAAAAAAATAATTAAAAAATATTTAAAATGTTTATTATAATTTTGGATTTTTAAATACATTGCAAAAAAGAATAATTCAATCAATTTGCACGTATATTAATTTTTCTTAACTTTCCTTTTGAATGTATGTTCTTGTTTGATTTTTTTTTTTTTAAAAAAAAACATTTTTATCAATAAAAATAATTATGCTATTTCTACAAAAATAATAATTATAATAATAACAGAAATAATAATGACAGTTTTTTTTTCAAGTGTATTTAATTTTTGTGTGTAACTTTTGTTGTAACTTTTTTGTGTGTAAAATTTTTGTGTGTAACTTTTGAAGCAAATTATTGCATTTTTTTTTGTGTAAATTTTATTTTATTTTGAATGCTCAAATTTAATAGTAAAAGTTACAAAAACATAAAATATTATGCTGCTTAACTGTAGTGTGCACACTTTGACATGTTATAATTTATATGCAGTGAAACATGTATAGTGTTCGCTCAAATTAATTTGTGCATACACTATAATAATAATAAAAGATATATGATAATCAAAGCTTTTGACTCTCTTGTTCTGTGTACATGTGCATCATTTTAATGTTCAACACATTAAAAACTGTAGATCTAAGTTAATTTTTGTTTTTTTTTGTTTTTTTGTTTTAAAAGAAAAAATCAGACAGATATTAAAATGGTTTTAATAGGATTTATTTTGGGACAAATACTTAAGCATTTTTAGAATATTTATAATTTGTGTGTGCAGAAGAGTTTTTTTGTTACAAATAATCGTGCAATCAATTTTCTTGTTGTTGTTTTTTTTTCTTTCTTTTTCAAAAACAAAATGCCTTATTTTTTTGTGTTTTTAATAATTTTTGTGCAATTTTTTTTAGAGTATAACAATGTTGAAATAGACTTTTAAAAAATACGCATGGGTATATTTGACATTTTCAAAAGTTTTTTTCAATCTAGCCCAACTACTAATGGTGATCCATCACGTTTACCTCCGTAAGTTATCTTAAGATATTAGCACTTTAAATGTAATGAAATATATTTTAATTACGATAAATAGAAAATTAAAAAAAAGTTAGTTAATGTTGGTAATTTGTAGTTTAAAGTAGTTGAGATTTATAAAAAAAAATCAAGATTTTTTTGTAGAAAAGATTGCTGTATTATCTGTTTCTTGCATAAATACTAGGGGTGCATCGACGCATACTTTAGGCCGATGAAAATGCTGATTAGTACAGTCCAACACTTATGCATCTGCATCGGCATAAGTTCAATATTATATCTTTTTTTTACTAATAAGTAAATTAGGATTTTTTTCAAATATAATTTTAATGGTCCATTTTAATGCTTGCTTATTTGATAAAGTTTGCTTAATTTTAATGCTTGCTTATTGTTGATTTATTTTTTATTTAATTTTGTTTCTAAGTTTAATTTCTAGAATATAGTTATTCAACCAAATTACACACTTTTTACATAACTTACTGCCAAATCATTTTTTTTTTTTTTTTTTTTTTTTTTTTTATCTTTTATTTTTGGTATGTTGTTGTTTGTTAAGTTATTTTCAACATAAAGAGTACAAATTGTTGTATAAATTGTGAATTAAAATGTATAGAAATATTGAAAATGATCTGAGACAAGATATCTTATCAAATCATGAAGATATCAATAGCGTTATGACTTTTACTGAAAATAATGATACAAAGCAGATTATGGAGGAAATGGAAAGTCTTTTTGAAAATTTTTTCAATTTTGGAATAAAAGCTGACAATTTTTTTGGATCTTTACCAAGTAAGTATATTTATTTTTTAATTAATTGTAATTAGTAGGTTTTTGTTACTCTAACAACTTATATTATAACTTTTTATTAAGCTTTATAGTCTCTAAAAAGTATTTTGTAAATATTACATGTCTTAAAATTATTAAATTAAAATTAAAAAATATATCTCACAGTTTACTTAGGAAACTAAAACTTTGTCATTTTTACTTACTATAAAATAAAGTAAAATTTAATTTAATTTTGTTTAATTGTCAAGATGAAATGTTAAACAAAACAATCCTAACAATCTAATTTAACACATTAAAACATTTAGGTGGCAACACTAGTTAATTAGTTACAGGTTGCAAGGATACAAACTTTGTAAAATATCATGATCTAAATTACCTTTTATTTATTTATAAAATATTCTTCAGTAAATAACACAATTATTTTTAGATCTTGTTAATTCAATTTATTAGTGTATTGTGCTACTACTCCAATGTATCACCACTATATGCTCATGTATCTTGTCTTAACACAGTTTCTAGAACTAAATAAAAGAGTAATATGATGCTGACAAGATGACTATTATTGTATTTTACACTAAATAAAGTTTTAACTAGTTGTATAAATCGAGTAATAAGGAACTAGGAAAAATATGGTCTTTTCTAATCCTTTATACAATCTTTTTTTCATAAAAGATTCACCAATTTGTCTTGATTGATTGATTCACCAATTTGTCTTGATGTTTTGAATTCTCTGACTATTCTTGTAAGTGCTTTTTTTTTTGGCATCTTTTTACTCAATCACTTTTTTTTGCCCTTTTTTTGTTTGTTTTCTTAAAACTACTTTTTTTTATATTGTTTCTGAACAAATTGACCAAGCTCTTTCTCATTACTCCTTAGCCGATATTGTTGTTATTGGTGAATAATGCTTATCACACAACTTGCTTGGACCTAGTACCACTTACCCTGCTGGCACAAAAACTCAAAGTTTATGTTTTATTTGATCTTTTTTTCAGATAATTAACTTAGTGATTCATTTTCTCTAATTCACCTTAATCCTTTCCGTTCTACTTGTTACCTTCCTTTCTTGTCTCGAAACCTAGCTTGTGCTTAGGTTTTATTTGTTCTCTTTTAGGTGGTTCAGACCAAGTTATGATTTGGCTAAAACCTTTATCTCATACCTCTTCTTCATCAGACTCAACATATCACACCATGTATTACTAGAGTTTTAAGTTTTATAATTGTCTTTGATGGGCAGCACTCATCTTCATTTTAAGTAACTTCTGAAATACTACAAGGTATCTATCCTTTTGGTCTTAACAAAAAGTCATCACTTTTTGATTACATAAAACAGGTAGGCAATCTTGAATATAATCATTCTTCTGTGCAGTTTAGAGCCTGCAGTTGCTTGTGAATTTCAGCCTAAACAAAACTTAGTTGTTCACTGCTGATACTTGTTGCAATAATGTGGGTAGTCCTATATTAATGAATGGGAACACTCTTACTCAATCTTCTACTTCAGATTGCATTACACTACTAACCTCTCATGGAAGCACATATTCAATGCAAAGTTAGCACATGCTATGATTGCCTCTCTTTATCATGCTTGCAATATTCTTACTCCTAATTCCATTCTCTATCTCTATCAATCTCTTATTACTGATGTTATTTTTGGACTAGTTCTTCTTATGATATCCTTACTTTAAATAAAAATCTTTGAAATCTTCTCAGTACAAATCAATATTTAATTTTTCCAAAATAAAAGTTATAATTGTATGTTTGTGTATATATTTTATATTATTATATATTTATATATTATATATTATATATTTTAAGAAGTATAAAATCACATACAAGTAGTATAAAGTAGTATAAAATCAGTTGTACAAAATCAAAATTGTATATGTGTATGTGTGTGTCTATATATATATATATATATATATATATATATATATATATATATATATATATATATATATATATATATATATATATATATATATATATATATATATATATATAGCCTTCCAATTAAAGTCGGCATTCAGTAATGCCAGCCTAGGGTATATATGCGGTAGTGGTGTAGTGGTAGAGCGCTCGCTTCATAAACGAGTGGTTCCGAGTTCGATCCCCACCACGTCCCTGGTAGTACCGCGCTCAACTCGTTTCTCCGCGCAGCGGCCTTGTTCGTCAAGGTTCGTGTTTCGGAGTTATAGAGTTGAGAGAGGGTCATAGCCACAAAATAAGTAGCCTCCTCGTTTGTAGTGGCCTTCTCGGCCTTGAGGAGGTGAAGTAAAATTAAAATATATATATATATATATATATATATATATATATATATATATATATATATATATATATATATATATATATACTAAGTAGTATAGAATCATTTTATAACATTGTTTTTACTCGTTTTTGTTGTTGCTGTTGTTTCAATTGATTTTCAACGTTTATTTAGGTAATAACTATGATGAGAACAAAACACAAAGTCTTCGAGATAAAATGTTGAATGAAAAAGAAGAGGTATATATATAAATGTGTATGTGTATATATATATATATATATATATATATATATATATATATATATATATATATATATATATATATACATAAATACATATATATATACATATTTATATATATATATATATATATATATATATATATATATTTATATATATATATATATATATATATATACATACATAAATACATATATATACATATTTATATATATATATATATATATATATATATATATATATATATATATATATATATATATATATATATATATATATATATATATATATATATATATACACACATATATATTGTATAATGTTTTTTGTATAAAAATGTACAAAAAAAAAATCTCTTATTTGTTTGAACAGTGACCAAAATTATTTAAAAAAATGTTTTATATAATAGATATTTATTATATAAAATATTTTATATAACAGATATTTTATATAATAGATATATTTAGTAAATATTAAAATAAAAAAATACAACTTTTTTTTTGTAATTAGAGTTTCATGCTTTGTGGCAATCATCAGCCATATATTTTTAAATCAAGAAATTAAAAAACTGTTAAAAATAAAAATTAAGCAATGCAATGGGATCTGATGTCAAAAAGTCGATTACATAAAGTCTAACTTTACCCTGTGCCAAACTGATAAAGAAGGAATTTATTTATATGTCGACATTTCAATATAATTTCAGTTTTTTTATTTAATAAACTGTTGTCATTGTTTGAAATAGTTTCATATTTTTCATTAAAACATAATTTGCATGATTTTGTTGTCAAGTTATGTATACAAATACATAAAAAATTTTAATTTTTAAGTTCTTGATTTAAAAATATATGGCTGATGATTTCCTTGAGGCACAAGTATTATCAACAAGTTGTATTTTTTCATTTTAATTATTTGCTAAATATATCAGATCCATTATATAAAACATTTGTATTTACAATATTATCACTGTTAAACAATAAAGAGATTTTTTTTTTTTTAAAGACAGTTATGACCACTCTTTGACAAATGCTATTACCTCTACATACAAACTAGGTAATTTAAGAATAAATGATGAAATTAACAAAGAAGGTAAAAATAAATTTCAAAGAAGGTGTTATTTTTAACAAAATTATCATTAATGCATCTTCTTATTGCTTCATAATGTTAAAAGACATAAAACTAATTTTACAAACAATCCATCAAATAGATTAATATATCCTGCAAAAAGTTGGTAGAATTAGTAAAGACATTCTCTCTAAATTTTGCATCTAAATCAGTGGAAAAGCACTCAAAATGTTATTAATTGGTTTAAAAATATAAATGATATACACTTTTATAAATTCCTCATTTTTGATTTCATCGATTTCATTCAATTAGTGAAAAACTCTGACAACTCTATCAGTTTTGTGGAAAAACACCTCACTATAAGCACAGAATATAAGTCAATTATTATTCATGCAAGGAAATCTTTACTGTTGTAATAATAACAAGGTTTGAATGAAAAAATCAAGCGGTTTGTTTGACATTACAATAGGTGCATTTGGTGTTGCAAAGATTTATTTAACCATTCAAAAATATAGGAAGATCTAGATTATTGCAATAACGATTAGCTGAAAAAAATTGAGTTTTATCTGAGTTAAAGTTCACCAGCCACTGAGAGCCCCATACTACTGCGGAGGTGAGATCTTTTCAAGCTCAAATGCTTCCTCCAAGCAATCATAAAGTGTTGGCTTCTTATCAAGACAAGAATAAATGTTTGTATCATCAGCGAACAATGTCCCCTTAGATGTGAAAATATTTGGAAGATTGTTATTGTAAAAAATGTAGTTAATAAGAGTATAGGGCTAAGGATAGAACCTTGAGGAACCCCTTAAGTTACAGGATTTATAAAAGAACAGAGTGCTGTCCATGGAGGACAACTTTTATACTACAATTGTTATGAAAGGATTCAATAATTTTAAAGATGTTACCTGATACACCATAAGAAGAAAGCTTATGGAGAAGACCAGCATGCCAACTTTATCAACAGCAACTTTATCAAAAGCTTTAAAAATGTCAAGAGCGATAGCCTTATCCATTCCACATTTATCTATTGCATGATAAAACCTATCATTTATTACTGTTAGTAAATCATCTGTAGAATAAGAAGATCGAAATCCATATTGATGATCAGAAATTAAGTCATTAGATTCAAAATGAGAGATTAAGTGTTTGTTAATTGAAGATTCAAAAACCTTGCTTATGATAGGAAGAAGACTAATGGGACGGTAGTTAGACGAATCAGATCGCTTTCTAGAATTTTTGAAATTAGGGATATCAGATGCCGCTTTCTGGTAGGCTGGAAAACAAAACTCTAATAAACACTTGTTAAATAGTTTTGAAAGTATAGACAACAGCTCCAGAGAACACTTTTGCAAGACTATAACAAGTAGTTGTATGTACCACAAGTAGTAGTTGTATGTACCACAAGCTATAGAAGAATATAAGCATCTAAGCAGGAAATCACTTTAGATACAGAAGCTGGAGTGATATGAATGTCAAGCAGTGAATCAACCTGTTTGTCGGCTATATTAGGTAGAACGCAACTAGTTAAATCAAGAGATGATATTGATGGAAAGTTCTTAGCAAACAATTCAGCTTTGTTTTTTGGTGAGGTGACAAAATCTAAACTATACAGGAAAGATGGATAGCAGATTTCCCTTTGTTACAGATACTATTAAATGATTCTTCAGAAGTCTTAAGAGCCTAAGTTTTGAGATGAAATGCTTCATGTATTTTATCTCAAAAATTAGGCAGTGACCTCAGAATAATATGCTTTGGTGTTGGACAAAACCTTTTTACAATGGTTTAATAGCAATATTAAAGAGACATCTGTTTTCTTGAGAATTGTTTTGGTGATAGATATGGGAAGTAATGGTTTTGATTGGAAATTGCAGCAGCACAATGAAAGGAAAACCATTGAGAAGAGTGAGGCTTGACTTGGAATTGTCAAGAGGAAATAAAAGATGTCAGTCTGAATCCAAGAAGTTAAGTAAGATGCACATTTGTCAGCACGAAGACGAAAGATGCCCCCAAGGGCCATCACAAAGAAAATCATGAAAAGAGTCCCAGTCAGCTTGAAGGTAGTTGTAAGAGATACGATGATAGGGGGATTCTGATAGAATAAGAAAGGCAAAAGTTGTGGGCCTTAACGCCTGCAGAGTCACTGACACTAAAGCCAAGTTATTTAGTGTGATGAGCATTACTGTCACCAACAACAACAATATTGGCTGAAGGATCAAGGGAGAGGGCTTGGTCAATTTGATCAGAAATAACATTGAAAAAAGTGCAGTCTTGAGATAAAAGATAGCAAACAAAGAGAAAAGTGATGGTACTAAATGAAAGCTCATAAAAAAATAATCTGTGCTAAATGAAAGCACATAAAAAAATCCGACAAATGCCCAGGTCAGGAATATATTGAGAAATAAGGTAACGGCTAACTTTGCAATCAACAGTATATATGGTTTCCATGAAGGTTGGTTGTGAATAATCATCCCAGAAGATGTAAAGAAAAGGACTCGATGGATGTGCCATTCATTATTATGGGAATGTTGATAATGTTGCAATAATTGTTTACAGTAAACTAAGTTTTGTTGGAGTTAAAATTTGCAAGCCAATGCAAGCACCAACCTTAGGGGTGTTCAAAAAAATAATTTTTTCAAAATGCGAATACACAAGAAGCCAAATTTGGGGCAAATATAAAAAATAAAAAAATTCCAGAAATATTGATATTTATCTTGTGCTCAAAGGGTAAAATACGCCAAAAAGTACCCCAAATTGTTCCTAAATTATTTGGTTTTGAACGCAGGGTAAATCTCAATATTTATAAAAAAAAATTTCTAATGTGATCATAATGGTTTTAAGTTTTTTTTTTAGATTGTTGTGTATCCTAGTCTTTTCATAATTATTGTTTATATTAAAAAATAATTCCACAAAAAAAATATTTCAGGCAAATGTGCTAAAAAAAGAATTTTGTTCAAAATTGTCGCTTGAGCACAAGGTAAACGTCAATATTTAGAATTTTTTTTTTTTCTTTGTAATTTCATTTTTTTAATATTTGCCTCAAATTTGGCTTCTTGTGTATTTAAAATTTTAAAAATTTTATATGCAAAAAAAAGAGTTTTTTTTTGCATAACTTATGCAAAATCTTTTTTTTTATTTTAAACAACACTTATGAAAAAACCAGGATACATAACAATTTAAATATAAAATTGGACCATTATCTTATTAGAAAAAAAAATTTTACAAAGTATTGTGATTTACCTTGCCATACTGAGTATAATACTGTTGCCATATCTGGAGCAGATCTTTGAATGATGCCCTTCGTCTTTTAGACAAGGTGAAAAGCACATTGTAAACATTATTCAATTAAGTATCACCCTTTTACTGTGGTTGTTCCTAAGTACTCCAAAAAATTTTATTTTTCTAGTGTTTTACCTCTAACATCAACAATTGATTCCTCAAACATTTGGAATTTGCTCCCTTTATCTTGTTTTCCTGATTCATATAGTTTGCAATCTTTCAAGTCGTCTGTTAATTGTTAACTTGGTTTATAAACTTTATCTTTTATCTTCCAGTAACTTCTAACTCTATTAGTGGTTGCTTGCATTCTTGTTATAAGTGAAAATGTTTTTAACAAATAAATGTATACATATATTTTTAACTAATACACTTAAAATTACTTTAATATTATAATATTTCTTTAAAAACTCTTAATTACAACTATCTAAATACTTTTAAATATTGTTTTGATCACATATAGATACTTTTCATTAATGTACGGACAATTATTCTGCCCACTGTATAAATATATATATATATATATATATATATATATATATATTTATATACATATTTATATATATATATATATATTTATATACATTTATATATATATATATATATATATATATATATATATATTTATATACATATTTATATATATATATATATTTATATACATATTTTTATATATATATATATATATATATATATATATATATATATATATATATATATATATATATATATATATATATATATATATATATATATGAGCCGGTGAGAATCAGAATGGTGTAACTCAACATTTCTTCAATTTGAGATATTTAAGGTTTTATTAGATTTAGCGTAGAGGAAACCCTAGAAACTAAAAAATAAAAAACAGTTTCCAGTTTCTTTACTTAAACTAACCAGTCTTAAATTTAACATAATGATGCTTTGTAATCATAAATATAGGCTTAACTCATTTTTTTTTTTTTTTTGGACTTTTGGACCATGCTGATTCTCACCAGCTTATATATTTATATACAGTCCTTGGATTTAGGAAAAATGAGGTTGGCAATACGTTGCTGACCTCAAACTGTTAGAGGTCGACAAAAAGCAAATAGCAATTATTTGCCAACTTCAAAAACTTTTTAATAAATTGCCGATCTTAAACTGTTAGAGGTCAGCATGAGGTCTACAAAAAAATTTATACACTAAGGTCTTATCATAAAACATAGAAATAAAGACTTAGATTTTTTGCTGACCTCAAACACTTTTAGCTTGGCAGTTAAATCAACATTGCCGAATGCTGATTCTGAGGTCTGTATATATATGATGTAGTCTTTTACAGTAATGTTGAATATATATAGTATAAAAAATTTTATTACAATATATGATAAATTTTTAGGTTCCATTTGATGAAGATAGACAGTTCAATTTTTTTACTGGAAAGCTACCTTCAATAGTAAGAAAATAATAGTATGAAGTGTAATTTGTCAAAATAATATATTTTATCTTTAAAATTTAATTTCTTTTTATGTGAAACCAACAATTAAAAAAAAAAAAGTATAAATCTAGCCCACTATCTTTGTATCTATTGCCACAAATGTAGTGAAAGTTGTTCATATCAGCAAAAATTAAACCATTTACTTAAACTCTAATTTAAAATTTTGTTTTTAAACTAAAATGAGTTGTTGATTGCACATAATATATAATAATTATATGCACATAATAATTATATGCACATAATATATAATAATTATATATGTATATATGCTAATGTTTTGTTTACTTAATCTTTAATTATATTAATAAAAAGTATGTGTCTTTCTAATACGCATATTTTGTGCATTATAATTCTTGTGTTTTATTTTAACTTTTGCTTATCATTATTCATTTTTTGACCAGAGAACACTTTTTAGATTATTGTTTAAGTGAAAAAAAATTCATCACCAAACAAAAATAAGCATTTAAGATTTTAATGTTAATTATAAATTATTTGTATACAGTAGGAATATAGTGGTTCTAAACCTAATCCCCGAGGAACACAACAAGTTATAATTTGATTGTTAGTTTCCTATACTTTTCATACTACATATTTACATAATCAGGCTTGGACAAGAATGGCTTGCGATGGCACTCTGTAACTAACCACGCTAATTGTATTTATTTCATTTCAATAATTTAGTTAAACTTTTTAAATAAACAATTTAAAAAAAAAAATTTATTTATTAAACAATCATTAGAAGTAATTTGTAAAAGCATTTTAAAACGTTTTTTTAAAGTAACTTTAGTAAAATCTTTCAAAAGATAAGTTTTAAAGTAGTTTCAAAAAGTTCACTTTGAGTTTGAGTTTGATTTTAAAGCTTATATATTTTCTTTTTCGTGAGGAATTGTTTTCTTTTTCAGTTTTTTTTTTTTTTTTTTTTCTTTTTTTATAGTTTTCAAACTTGAAATAAAAGACTTAAAAACGCTTAGATAAAATGTTTAGCTTAGCGTTTCTTTCTTTAGCGCATTTCTGAAATGTTTAAATCATCAAAACATTTAAACAGTCGTGGTCAAGTTGTCAACAAAAAAAAAAATCATTTGCGTTGTCAGCAATAGCATTCGATCACATGCCATTCCTGTTCAAGCCTGCATAATACAATAGTAAAAATATTGCTTTAACATTTAAAATGGTGGTGGTAATATGATAGAAGTGTTGCATTTAAAATACTTATTTTGTGCGTTTTGATTTTGTTTTAGTTCAAGTTTCCGATTGAGAATGACATCTTTCAAAATACTGATGGAACAGATGAAAAACAAATTTATGATGAAGGTTATTATTTTAGTTTAAAAATTTTAAAACAATGTTGTTATTTTTTAGATATTTACAATTTTTTTTTAAGAGTTCTTTAAAAAAGGATTAAAGTTGTTTAATAATCAATTAAATGATTAAAAAAGGAAATTAATTATTAAACATAGATTTTCAATATTATGTATACACACTATGCCTTGTTTTTTTTTTTAATGCCTAATGTGTTAGCCTAATATGAATTTTGAAGTCATAAAACACTTGGTATTTTTTTTTATGTTTTGACATTAATTTTTTCAAACCAATGCAATATAATAAATTACTGCAAAAATAATTAAGTTAAAAATAAATAATATTTTAATAGCAAATTAACTTCTTTTACTTTTTACTTTTTTATCTTATTTTTTAATTTCATACTTTTCCTATATTTCAATTTTAATCAGTTTATACCTCTCATAGAGTCGTGTTTAGAGTTTTAATCGTTTTTCAACAAAAAAACATTTTTAATGCAAAATATTTTTTTAGTGTTAACACACTATTTTATATTTAGTTTTTTTTTTTTTTTTTTTTCTTAGTTTCGTTTTATATTTCTTAACTTTTTCAGACTTTGATAGTGATATCAGAAGTGGAAAAAAGTCACTTGATGATGTATTGAATGAAAAGACATCTCAGCATTCTTTTAATATCAGCTCATTACCAAAGAATGGAATATTTAATTTTTCAAGCACAACCAAGAAGATAAATTCAGATGGTGTATGTTTCATATTTTCAATAGTATATTATATATAAGTATTGTAATAATAGTTACATTATTTAAAAAAAGAATAATTTCTTATTTTAGTATATTGAAACTCGAACTACAAAAAAACTACCTGATGGTTCTGAGCAAGTAAGTAAAGAGTTGTTTTAGAGTTGCTAACCTGGCTATGGTCTAGAAAGTTGTTTTTTTATGTACTAATTTAGGAAAGTATTTCCTTTTATGAATTGAACAATGTCTTCCACCCGCAACTATAATTACAAAAATTAGCAGGCCCTATTATTATTCAAAAAAAAAATTATTCAAAATTATGTGATGTAGGTACTCAAATAAAGCGAAATTTTATAAAAATTTCAAAAATAATAATTTTTTCATATATAAATTATTATTTTAGATTTTATTATATTAACTATAGTTTTTTAACTAAAAGTGAAAAAAGTGCATTTTTACATGTTTTTTAATAACAATTTTTTTCGGCAATATGATTTTTATAAAGCGATTATTGTTTTCGAATTTTTTATAAAATTTCGCTTCTTTTGAGTACCAGGTTGACCTACTTTTGAAAAACTTTTTTTCTCCAAAATATTAGGGTACCGGTAATTTTCCCAATAAAGTTGCGCCCTTTAAATCTATCACAATCATTCTCATATTTGATAGTATCAATATTAATAACTATTAGCAATGTTTAGAGCCTGTAACAAGAAAAAAAAATTTTATGACCCACCCTAATATATATATATATATATATATATATATATATATATATATATATATATATATATATATATATATAAACATAAACATAAACATAAACATAAACATAAACATAAACATCTTTGCATACTTAGCCTTGCATAATACATTATTGGTGATGTAATACTGAAATAACGATATGTGGGAACATTAGTACCTATTAACTGAGGGTTTTCTATATGTGATGTGTATATAATGTATATAAAGTATGACAAATCCCCATGCTTTCTTCATTTTAGACATAAACCTGTTGTTTTTTCTAGCATATTGATAATCTGACCAGAATGTAATGCGGCGGTACGTTAATAAGTCAAAGGCAACAGATGTTTGTAGAAAGGCACTCTGTTATGTTTAGCATTCATTGTTTGCAAAGTGATAAATGAACAACCCTTTTTATTATAACTGTTTTTTTAGCTTGTTAAATGGTTTTAATGAGCAATATTTTTCTGAATATTTCTTTGTAGAAAAAATTTTTTCTTTGCAGAAATAAACTGTTTCTGCAGAATTATTTGAATTTGTATTTTGCATACAAAACGGGTTTTCTGTCAATGGTCAACTCTCGCAAATGGTCAATTGTTGTCTCACAATTGAGACATTTATTGAGGCAATTTTAATTTTTGCCATAATGATTTTTTCAACCTTCATTTTTTTTTTTTTTTTTTTTTTTTTTTTTTTTTTTTTTTTTTAAATGAAGGATTAAAGTTACTGTTTACGTAATTAGGTTTTTATTAATAAAAACATTTGTTTATCAATATTAATATGTTTTGAAAATTTTTAAGTTTTAAAATGCCACCTTCTAAATAAATTTTATCTTTGTGTTTCTGCATCTTGTCACAATTGATTGTCATATTGATAAACATTGTATAACCTAAAACAGAAATTAAAACTATTTTATAAACATTAGCCTTTTTGTTTGGATACTTATAAAAGTCCAGCAGTCCACACTATTAGACTGGTATAGGCACCCAAACAATTTCCTCTAGCTAAAAATTATTTAATATAAATTAATAAATACACAAAAAGGACAAAAAAAACAATAAAACATTGTCAGGATTTTCTTGGCATCAGAAGACTTTTGTTATGGAATTTAAAAGTTTATAAAATATTAATTTTAACTTCTCTCAGTGCAATCATATCAAACTTGGGTCAGAGGGAGGCAGAGAGAATAGGAAAAAAATATTTCATAATGGTATCACCTTTACTATGTCTGAGTATGACACTGACAATTAAAGTATTAAAGATTAGCCACATATTTCTTAATATTCTCTTTCATTCATTCTCTTGATAGATGTTTTTACTTATTTTTAGCATTATGGTTTGTATTTTAAATACAAAAGATTTTTTTATTTTATTTTAGACAATAGTCAGTCGCTCAATTGGGGATCAAACACATTCAGTTACCAGTAAAAAACTAGCGTCTGGAGAAGAGATAAGAACAGAAGATTTTGTTAATATGAATCAAGGTTAGTGGTATTTATTTTGTGAACTAATCAAATTATGTTTTACAAAGATGAGATACAAAAAATGTTTCACAGAAAATATTAAACTAGAATTGTTTTGGCGAACTAAGTGATCATGATATTTTTATTTAAGTGTATCATGATGTTTTTCGGCTAATTAGTAGCAATGAAAAAGCTTTATTTGATAATTGTTTTACATCTTTGTTGTGTATAGTAGAACGAGAATATGCTGTCTACACAATTAGTTGATCTTAGTTTATAAGTCTATAGTACTTTTAGTCATTGTCTAATCATACTGTAATAAAATTAAAGTTGAATATAAATAAAGTTTCAAAATAACTACATGCAATATGGCAATTATTATTCAATTCATTATGCAATGCAACGAATGAGTCTATCATCCTAATAAGACTTTATTAAAATTCTATAAAATAATTTAAACAAATGGAATTCCATTTTAGTAACGAATATTTTTGTTTTGAAAATGAAGTAAAAACTGCATTTTTGTTACGTCTATAAACTAAAGTTTTGCATTTAACATACTTTTAGTAATGTTTTCTTAAGTATAACGAGTTGACCGCTGCAGGATTCTTTGAACAATAGATTTTTATATTTTTTTCATCGAAATAGATCTATAAACAGAAAAAATTCTAAAACTAATCTGATTTGAATTTATATTCCAAATTAGATATCTTTTGCAAACAGATAAGTTTTAATGTAACCTAATTTTTATGTGTTTTAATGAAGCGATTTTTGAAAAATGTGTTATTGCTTTTATAGATGAATTAAAAGCTTTTGATGAGAAATGGAACGTCAAAAAAAGTAAGAAAAGAAAAGAACATTTCAAATTTTTATGTAAAATACGTTCATTTTAAATTAATAAGTTTTTTGCTTTCAGGACCATTATTGCCTAATGGTAGTTCTTGGGGAAGTTTTTTGCCGCGTCCGTGGTCGAATCCGAAATTGTAAATTCTATACTTTTTTGAGGTTTTGTAAAAAGATATTTATTTTGGATGTTAAAATTGTAAATTTTTTAAATTATGGTTCTTATAATATAAATTTATATATATATAGTACTTATGTATTTTGTTGCACCAAAGACCTTTATTACAGAGTTACCAGTTAAAAACCCTTAAAAATCGAAAACCTGTTGGAGAACCCCTAAAAAAGTTAACCTTTAAATTACTGAAAGTTGTTATGAATATTTTGTTGAAATGAATTATAATATTTGATAGAAAAGTAAATAGTTACTGTTTTGATGGTTTCAAATTCGATAATTTTTCTTTTTATTCTTTCAATCTTAGCATATTTCAGAATTTGATTTTTTATTCTTAAACTTCCTCCTAAAGTTTCATGGTACAAACCTAAGCACATATCTTCATTAAGATAACAACAATCTTTTTCACAAAAATTTCTTACCCATTTGCAACTAAGCATAATTATTAAATCAATACAACATTTTGTATTTTTATAAATCAAAACGACGTTCATTTGAAGTTTTCAAACTCATTTGAATTATTCTTTCAAACTAATTGAGAAGTCTTATAATTAGTTATTGAAGTCCTTTTGACCATCTGTTAATGGTTGGTACATACAAGAAGACTTCTGTTCCTAGGGTGATTTTCTAATTTTTGCAATAGTTAATACTAAATGCGACAAACTTCTGGTGAAGATTTAATATTTTTTTATTACTATTTTCATTTTTTTTTTAATTTGAATTTAAAAGATATATTAACATAATATCTGCTGTTAATATAATAGTGATAACAGTTTTTTTTTTAATGTGATAACTTCTATTATTGTTTTAAAGGAGATATTTTAGATGTTTTGATGTCCAAAATAAAATAAGTAGCGATCCTGCCCGTACTGCTTAAGAATTAATGTATCTATTGTGAAGTTTTTCCAGACTATCTTTAGATAGGGTGATTTTATTTGGCACGCCCGGCTATTTAATTTAATCTGGAACCTTAAGTAAACAAAAGCTACCTACATTTGGTCAGTCAAAACTAAAAAGTCAAAATGAAAAAAAGGCGCAAATTTGTTTGTGTTTAAATTAGTGTTGTTACGACTATTAAATATTTCGACTGTCTACTAAAATTGACTAATACATTTTTAAAATCGACTAAGTCGATTTAGTCGAAATATTGGAATAACTTATTTTCCTGAAATAAATTGTCATAAAAATAACAAAGTAATTTATTTTCGCTTTCAATTTTTTAACATATTTAAATTTATTCCCAGACCCTAGACTTCTTACAGAGCACCGGAAAGAGCATAAGTAATACTAGTATGCTATGAATTAGATAAAAAAGAGAGTAAACAAAAAGTAGGTAATAGTTATAATTATAGATGCCATACTTACTAAAATAGTCATTAACTATTTGCACTGCCACCTGCAAATAATAAGAAAATTTTAGTAAGTTCTGTTAGGATAATGTTTTGTGTTTGTTGGCCAACACTTGTAAGGGTTTGCTGTCCAGTTTAAACGAGCAATTTCTTGTAAAAACTTATATCATTTGCAATAGGAATTATTCTTTCTCACATCTTCATATGAGTGCTTTTTTTTCGAAGAGATTAGTCGATCGTTTTCATTTACATTCCTTTTTCTTACGAAGTAGAACTGAATCATCAGCGGTGCTACTAGTCACCGGTGATTTTTCATCAGTGTCAAGCAGTCTTTCACTGAGAAGGATTTTTCTTTCACTGAGAAAGTCCATAATCGATTAAATCAACTACTAGTTTTTTCTTTGTTTTGACTTATAGCAAAAAAATGTATAAAACAAAATAAACTTTTTTCTGAATAAAATTTTCTTAAATTAAGATAGAACATCACCTTTTGTGATTTTTGATTATGGGTTTATGTCATATTTTTGAATGAATGTAAACATGGAGACAATTATAACTGAAGTCAATGAATACCTATCACAACGCAGGAATAGGTACCAAGTCTTAATAAAACTAAGTTTTAGTTATTATCAAAAAAAATGGCGGGATGATTGAGTTATAAGCAAACTTTTGGAAGAAATATTTTGGTACAATTTTTTTATTTTTTTATTTATTGAAAAATCATGAATTAATTTTTATCAGTAATATTTTTTTTTTTATTATTAAACTTCACAAAACCAAAGTCAAAAAAGATCAAAAAATAAAAAGAATAACAACACATATTAAACAACAAAAATAAATAAATTTGAAAAGTTACAAAGTGCTTAAATGCACTTATTATATACACTTATATTATTCTTAGAAACTCTTAATTTAAATATTAAGAGTTTCTAAAAATAATATACTTTTCATTTAATTGACAGATCAATCATAAAGATATTTTGCATTTTCAGAAATAGTTTTGTAGTAAATTTTTTAGTAATAACTGTCTAAGTTTAGTCTTAAACTCATTTAACATTGTAAGAGTTTCAAGGTGGTAGATCCCCATTCAAGCTATTATTTTTAAAAAGTGCCATAGAAAGTTTTTTATTATTTAAATAATTTAAATAGAGTTTTAAGCTCAGTTGTGAGTACTTTGTTCCTTGCCTTTGGTCCTCTAATTCTATTATATATGTTTATATTTTGCCGTTTGACAATAATTACAGTAACTAAGTAAATATATAAAAATTTACATGATAGGAGCAAAAAGAAAACTATAGTTGTCTTATCACTAAGCCCCGTAATATATACCATACATAGCATAGCTTTTAAAAACAGTGTAATATTATACAAAGTCGTATTAATTAAATATTCTTAAAAAATTTTATTTTTTATTTATAAAGAAAAAAAGAAAGAAAAAAATTAATTAATTAAAAAAATTTAAAAAAATTGTTTTTATTTTTTATATTTTATCCTCCAAGTTCTTTTTTTTTAATTTCTTTTGTTAGATTGAGAGTAATTAAGAAAAAATTTAAAAAATAAATAAATAAAAAAGATAACAAAACAAAAAGATAAAATGTGAATGCACACACTCACATATAAATACATATCAAACAACTAGGGGTACTTTTTACATAAGATTTCAAAAATATATAGTATAAACTTTTTTACATCCTCGGTAATAAAAAAAATGAAAAAATTAAATCATGTAAAACTTTCCAATAGAATTTTATATATATATATATATATATTTGTGTGTGTGTGTGTGTGTGTGTGTATATATATATATATGTGTATATATAAAATTAATAAATATATTTAAATATATATTGGAATAAAACAAGTTAGTATCATCGGCAAATAAAATTGAGTTTAAGATGTTAGAAAAATTGTTTAAATCATTAATATAAACTAGAAACAAAAGGGGTCCTTGTATTGAACCCTGGAGAATACCGCATATGATAATCATATTATCCGTTTTTCCACCTTCGTATGAAGTATATTGCTTCCTGTTAAACATGTAACTTTTAAACCAAGCCAAGTTTGAATTTCTTATACCATAGATTTTGAGTTTGGATAAAAATATGATCAACTGTATCAAAAGCTTTACTTAAATCTATAAAAACACCTAAAGTATACTATTTTTCATTAAGCCCTTTAAATATATCATGGACAAGATGTAAGATTGCGTGATCAGTAGAATGATCAGATTGAAAACCAAATTGTTTATTGTACAAAATATTATTTTTGTTTAACAAATCTATTATACATAAGAGTCTATTATACATAATTCGTTCTATAATTTTTGAAAAACATGTAAGAATTGAGATCGGCCTATAATTTGTTACGTCATAAGGATCACCTGATTTTAAAATGGGGACAATTAAACGCATTTTAAACGCATTAAAATCCCACTCTAGTGGGATTTTAATGCGTTTTATTGAATTGATAATGATGCTACTACTACTAATGATGCTGCAATATTGTTAACTCCTATACTTGTTTTATACTACTTAACTCCTTGCATACTTGTTTTGATTAAAGAAACCACAAATAATAATTCTTCTTCAGTAAGTTTGACATTAGTGTTATTAGTGACATAATATTAGTGTTATTAGAAACCAAGTATGCATCAAAGCTGGTTTGCGAGGATTCAATTTTTGATGCTAATGACCAACATTTACAAAAAATTCATTAAGTGTTTCAGCCACTAATTGTTTCTTTAAAACGTTGTTATTATTAAATTTGAGAAATTTTGGAATAGTATTTCTGTCAGAATTATTTTTACGAATGACCTTGATAATACGCTAAGTACTTTGAGGATCATTCGAGTGCTTTTTTTAGTTTTTATCATTAGTTTCATTACGAATAGTTTTTTTTTAAAAGAAATTTTATATATAATCGTTGTGTTTTTTTTTAGAAGATTTGAGAATACCCTCAGTAATCCAAGGGTTTAATAGCGTTTTTATTTTAACTAATTTTAAAACTTTTGGAATTGATAGTTATAATATTTATAATAACTCTGATTTATTATCAGAGTTTTGATTCAGGAATGGGCACCCGACGTCAATCCGACGTCGAGATCCGACGTCGCTTGACGTTCGTTCGACGTCGAAATGCCCACTGGGAATAGGCCATCCCAGTTAACACATGATAAAAGGTTATGAAAATAATTAACAAAGAGTCGTTTATTATTCTTGATGTTATTTTTTTATTTTTTTGAATTTCATTTTTATTACATTTTTGTGAAATAATGAATATAGGAAAATGATATCTGTTTTAAATATTCCTGTTTTTATTTTTATATTAAGAAAGTTAATAGTAATAATTTGATCTATTGAAGTTTCACTTTTTCTAGTTATGCGCGTAGGTTTATTGATGACAGGAATGTAACTATTTTCATAGATTACATTGAAAAATTGTATAATGTTTTTATTTGTGTCATAATCTAAAGTATTGAGATTCAAGTCACCAACCAGATAGACAGATTTTTTTTAAACCGAATTATTTTTAATTACACTTTTAATGTGATCTTCAAACACTATAATTAATCCATTTGGTGAGCAAAGCAAGGACGATAATTTTTTTTTTAGGTTATACTAACTATTTCCATACACAACGACTCATAATCATTAGTGGTCGAACTTAAATTTGACTTAACTTTAAACAATAACGAGTTTTTAATAAAAATACACACCTCCCGCC